CAAATGAACTCTTCAAAGCAAGCCATGATTGCAAATGCTAATGTATAGCTCTTATTGGAATATTGGAGTTATGAGATACTAGCTATAATCTTGTTTATAATTCTTTGCTTAGGCTTTTCCAAAAACTTTTTTTTTCTGCTGCTTATTGGCTCTTTTTTCTTTATATCCTTTTTTCAATTCGTTTTTTTTTCTTTCCCATTTTTTTTTAATTTTCACAGCTAGCATCCTAAGACAGAATTAAACAAAGGTAATACAAAATAGATCCTAACAATGAAAAAACATGAAACTTGATGATCAAATGCAATACAATCTTACTTAAGTTGGCCAGTATGATATGAAAAGAATCATGAATGGCTCAATGGGGTTAAGCAAAAGTTAGTATCAATAGTTTGTGTTGGAGTAAACTGGGTTTAGAATAGAATGCCTCTTTCATATGCAATTTCCCAAAGCAAAAATATGGCCTCAATTAAGAGCTAGGTCAAGTTCTAGAGGGTCCTAGTACTAAGGAGATTGCACTCATAATAAAAGGAATTTAGGCTCAAACAAGACCTTCCAACATGGGTTATTCTTCCCAAATCCAATACAACAGCTAAATAAAATCAATTCTAACCTTAATACAACATTTCTCAACCTCAAATGCTGAATCTTCCCAAAAATAATTAGGTTTCAATGAATTCCCAGATTTCTAAATGTTCAAGTCAGAAAGTTATCAACATGATTTCAGAAAGTCAAGCTTAGAACCAAAGAGATTTTTGGAGTAGCAAAGGTTTAGTGCAGCACAACTGATCTAGAAAGTGGATTATGCATAGACACTCAAAGCAAGGGACATGAGTGCTAAGTCCTATCAGCAGTACACAATCTAAAACCAAGAATTTCAAAATCATTAAGATATTATCCTTCCTCCACACTTAAATTCAGTATTGTCCTCAATACAGTCCAGAGCACATGAAAAGTTCAGAGTAAAAACAACAAAACAAAAGAAAGGAAAACAAGTAAAACACCATTTTAAAAAAAAAAACTACTGAAATGACCTCTTCCCCCCACACTTATTCTCAAATCATTTAAGCATAAAGTATCACCAGCAAGACACAAAAATGAAAAGAAAGTAGTAGGGAAAAGAGGCAACCTGATATTCAATGTGGCTAGGAGTTTTCATGATAGAGCTTAAGCAAATGTCCATTGACCTTCAATGTGTGACCATTTTGCTCATCCAGAAGTTCCAACATGCCAAACTCATGCACTTTGGTAACTGTATATGGACCATCCCATCTTGTATTGAGCTTCCCTTGTTTAAACTTGAATCTGGCCTTGAATAAGAGAACACGATCACCCTCCTTAAAATGTTTCCTTAAGATGCCTTTATCATGAATAAGCTTTGTCTTTTCCTTATACATCCTTGAATTCTCATATGCCTCAAGTCTGATTTCTTCTAACTCTTGTATCTGCATTTTTCTTTCAATTACAGTAGCTTCCATGTCCATATTGCAGATTTTTACAGCCCAATAAGCTTTATGTTCAAGTTCTACAGGTAAGTGGCATGCTTTTCCATATACTAGCCTATAAGGAGACATACCAATTGGGGTCTTGAAAGCTGTCCTATATGCCCATAAAGCTTCTTCTAATTTAACACTCCAATCCCTCCTTGTTGGTCTCACTATCTTTTCAAGAATCTGTTTAATTTCCCTATTTGAAATTTCTGTTTGGCCATTAGTTTGAGGGTGATAAGCTGTGGACATCTTGTGAGTTACTCCATATTTAGCAAAAAGACCATCCAACAACCTATTACAAAAGTGTGTACCTCTGTCACTAACCATGGCTCTAGGAATACCAAATCTGGAAAATATATGAGACTTAATGAACTTGGCAACAGTGGCTGCATCATCCTTTTTTGTTAGTATTGCCTCCACCCACCTTGAAACATAATCCACAGCTAATAGTATATAATGATAACCAAAAGATGTAGGGAATGGCCCCATAAAATCTATCCCCCACACATCAAATATTTCACAGAAAAGCATTGGAACTTGGGGCATCTCATGTCTTCTACTATTTCCACCAGAACGCTGGCACTTATCACACACTTTGCAATAATTGTAGGCATCTTTAAAGAGTGTTGGCCAGTAGAACCATGCTTCCAAAATCTTCTTAGAAGTCTTTTTAGCACTAAAATGTCCACCACATGCCCAAGAGTGACAAGCATCCAAAATTCTAGTGACTTCTTCATTAGGGACACATCTCCATATAATCTGGTCATTACACAGCCTCCAAAGAATAGGTGCATCCCAACAATAGTATTTGGCTTCACTCTTTAATTTTTGGGCCTGAAAGTAAGAAAGGGAAGGTGGAATTAAATCTGTAACAAGGTAATTCACTATGTTAGCATACCAAGGTTCATATTTAGTCATAGCCATTAACACAGAAGTAGGGAAGTCATCACAGATTAAGGAAGAATCAGAAACTCCCTTTGTATCTTCAGGTAGCCTACTCAAATGGTCTGCAACAAAGTTTTCAGCACCACTCCTGTCTCGAATTTCCAAATCAAATTCTTGTAGTAATAGAATACATCTCAATAACCTTGGCTTGCTATCTGTTTTTTTAAAAAGAAATTTCACAGCCGCATGGTCAGTATAAACAATAACATGAGAATTAAGAAGATAAGGTCTAAACTTGTCCAAAGCAAAGACAATTGCAAACAATTCTTTTTCAGTTGTAGTATAATTAATTTGGGCACTATCCAATGTTTTGGATGCATATGCAATTACCCTGGATAGTTTACCCTCTTTTTGACCTAACATTGCACCTACTGCTGTATGACGCATCACAAGCTAGCTCAAATGGTGAATTCCAATCTGGTGCAGTAAGTATCGATGGTGAGACAAGCATTGCTTTTAAAGTATCAAATGCATGTTTGTAGTCCTCATCAAAGTGAAAATCAACATCTTTTTGCATGAGTTTAAACAAAGGAGAAGCAATCTTGCTGAAATCTTTAACAAACCTTCTGTAAAAACCACAATGGCCAAGAAAAGATCTTAGTTCCTTTAAAGTCTTAGGATAAGGCAGAGATGAAATGACTTCTATTTTTGCTTTATCTACCCCAATGCCCCTTCTAGAAACTAAATGACCTAGTACTATGCCTTGATCCACCATAAAGTGACATTTTTCAAAATTCAAAATCAAATTTTTCTCTATGCACTTGGCCCAAGACTTTATCAAGACTCTCTAGACAAGCAGAAAAATTATCCCCATACACTATAAAATCATCCATGAATACCTCCATGGATAAACCTAGGAACTCACTAAATATAGCCATCATAGCCCTCTGAAATGTTCCTGGTGCAGTACATAGCACAAAGGGCATTCTTCTATAAGCAAAAGTCCCGTAGGGACAAGTAAAGGTAGTCTTATATTGATCCTCTGGTGCAATCGGTATTTTGGAAATATCCCGAAAATCAATCCAGAAAACAATAATTAGTTCTACCAGATAATCTCTCAATCATTTGATCAACAAAGGGTAATGGAAAATGGTCCTTTCATGTTGCATCATTTAGTCTTCTATAGTCAATGCACACACGCCATGCATTCTATATCCTAGTTGGTATCAATTCATTTTTTTCATTTTTAATAACAGTAATGCCACTTTTCTTAAGGACCACTTGTACAAGGCTAACCCATTCACTGTCCAAGATGGGGTATATGATGCTTGCACTTAGGAGCTTAGTAACCTGTTTTTTAACAACACCAATCAAGGGGTTAAGCCTATATTGAGGTTGTCTAATTGGTTTCATCCCATCATTTAATAATATTTTGTGAGTACAATTGAAGGATTAATTCCAGGTATGTCTGCCACAGACCAACCTATTGCCTTTTTATGTTTCTGCAAAACAGCAATTAATTGTTCCTCCTCTGTAACAGTGAGTGAAGTAGCTATAATCATTGGTAATTTATTATCTTCAACAAGATATACATATTTAAGATTGGGGGGTAGGGGTTTAAGTTCTAGTTCAGGGGGTTTCACCACAGAAGGAACCAACTCCTTAAGCTCCAAAGCTCCAACAAAATGCTGCTGCAAGTCCTCACTTGATTCTGGATTTTGTGTCCTATCAGAATAGCAACCAGAGGGTAAACAACCAAGATGATAATGTACATTACGCAAGAATTTCATAAATTTAGCATTGAACTCTTGTGCAGATTCTTTATTTCTGACCACTTTTTGAGCTTGATCTTGATTACAAGTAACTTGCTGTAATGATTGAAGTTCTCTCCAACATTGTTCAGCTTTTGCAAAAAACGTGGACAAAAATTCATGAATATGCTTTAACATTTGAAAAGGATATGAAGAATGAAAGTTATCTGCAGTGTTGGTTAATGCATCATAAGGAGAATTCTGATGTAAATTATCCAAAATTTAATCGGATTGCAACTTTAATTTCTCAAAATAGTGAGCTGGTGGAATATGGAATTTTTGTTCCTTAGCATAAGCTTGTCCAGTGACCAAATCTCCTTTCTTTTGTTCATCAATATGCATTCTTGATGTTTCCAACGTTGCTATATTGGTACTGGCTCCATCTAATGCAGATTTTGCAATATTCTCAGCTTCTGCAAAGTTAGAAAGTATACCTTTCCCAAACCCATTATTAGAGATTTCAGAAACAAAATCATCAGCAAAAGAAGAAATATCAAAAGAAAATGTTTGCAATGTGGAAAGTGAGCGATCAACTGAATGAAAGTCAACACTACACACCTCATCATCACAAACAGAAAAATCATTGGGGTAGAAGAAGGAATTCATTATTGGCAAATCTAAATCAAATGTGGTGAGACCATACTCGTTCATGTTGAGAAGGGAAGGTTCACATTCAGCTACAGAGTCTTCTATGAAAGCATCAATGGCACTTATACCCAACAATGAGTAATCTTCATATGGGTGCTTTATAGCTTCATAAACATTAAAATTGATCATGTGATCACCCACTTCCATTGTGATACAACCATCTTTCATACTAATCACTGTGTTGGCAGTTCAAAGGAATGGTCTCCCTAAGATCAATGGTTGATTCATGGGACATATCCAAGACATAGAAATCTGCTGGAAAAATCAAGTCCTTAACCTTGACCAGAATATCTTCCAATAGCCCATGAGGTCTTCTAATGCTTCTATCAACCAACTGAATGATCATACTAGTGTCTTTTATTGAATTAATGCCCAAAGATGTATAGATAGACAATGGCATAACATTTATAGCAGCACCCAAATCTAGGAGGGCACTAGCTATATTCAATTTACCAATAGTGCATGGAATTGTAAATGATCCTGGATCAGAACACTTCACTGGTAAATGTGGCTTAAAAAGTGCTGAAACACTTGAGCCTATTTGAACCAATTTATTGGGTTTGCATTTCCTCTTGTTAGTACACAACTCCTTCGAAAATCTCACATACTTAGGCATACTTTTCAGGAAATCCAATAAGGGTACATTAACTTCCAGCTTGCTAAATAGATTCAAAGCATCTTTCTCAACTTGTTCATTAGACAATTTCCTACTAAGAAGAAATGATTTAGGAAAAGGAAGCTCTAAAATCTTTACCTCACTCTTACCCTTCCTTAATTGCTTCTGAATTTCTGGAAGTTCCTCATTTTGTTGACCAGAAGGAGTTGGGACTGCTTTGGGTACTTCTTGCTCTAACTCCTTAATTCCAGAATGCTGAGAGTTTGCATCATCATCATGTGTGGAAATTGATTCTTTCTCTTTTTTCCTTGTTGACAATAATTTTCTCTCACATTTGCTTTCAGATTGAACTTGAGGGGTCACCACAGAATCATCATTTTGCTGCATATTATCAGATTCTTTAAGTTGTTCATCATCCTCATCCAAAGTAAAACTGACTTGTTTTCCAACTTGTCTTCCACTCCTCAAAGAAATGGCATTCAATGACTTTGGATTAATCACTGTATTTGAAGGTAGAGACCCTCCACTTCTTGCTTGCAGATCGTTAAGTGTATTAGACATTTGAGTGACAAAATTATTCAGATTAGCAGACTTAGTTTCCCACTGCTCAATCTTCTGCTCCAATGCACTCATCCTAGAATTGGTCAAAGAATTGTTGTTGGCTATCTCAGATTTCATTTCCTTCATACATTGAATCAATTCAGCCATACCATTGTCATTTTTGGAGGAGGATGCACCTTGATGCTGTACTAAAGTTCTGGTATGTTCAGAATTCACTCTGTTGTCCTGAAACTTGTTTTGCATTGTTAGAGGTTTTTCTGATCCTTCCCTCCACCTAAAATTTTGATGATCCCTCCATCCCTCATTATAGGTGTTAGAATAAGGATTTCTTTGTGAAAATTGTCCTGATCTTCCTTGATAAACAGCAAAAGTTCTTCAGTATGAGAGGGACAATTTTCGCTTGTATGCATGGGTGATGCACAAAAATCACATGAAGGGGCCACTAATGCTTGGGAAGTGCCAACTCAATTGTAAGGCTTCAAATACCTCTCTTGTTCCAATCTCTCCATTCTTTTATCCATTCTATCTGTAAGTGCCAGCAGTTGTGCAAACAAGTCTTGAGAATGATGAGAAGACATCTCCTTGACTCCTTGTGTTTCCCTTGTATGAAACTGTTGAGTATTGTTGGCCATTCTTTCTAAGAGTTCCCAAGCATTTTTAGGAGTAAGCTCCAAAATGGACCCATTAGCAGCTGCATCAATTATGCTTTTGGTTGAGGACAACATCCCTTCATAGAAATACTGCACTAAGCTAGATTTAGTGTACTGATGGTTAGGACAGCGGTTAATCAAGGTCAAGAAACGTGTCCAGTACTCATACAAAGTTTCTTGCTCTCTTTGAGTCACACCATATATTGCTTTCTTCAATTTTGAAGTCCTAGATGCAGGGAAGTATTTGTCCAGAAAAGACTTCCTTAATCGCTCCCATGTGAGAGTTGAAAAATGTTGAGGAAGTGTGTGCAGCCACTCCCTTGCATTTCCTTCCAATGTAAAGTGAAAAACCCTATTTAGAACATCTTCAAGAGCTGCTCCAGGTGGTTTCATTGCTGAACAGACCAAATACATAGTATCCAAGTGCTGATAGGGATCATCACCTGCAAGTCCATAGAATTTTGGTAAGGAACTAATTAAAGCACCTTTGATTTCAAAGTTAATATCCTGAACATAAAATCCTCTTGGTGGACAATTAATGGTAGAATTATTAATTTCCTTTATGCTCCTATTATCATCATCAGGATTCTGAGGTATATTATGATTAACATTTTTAGCATGATCCTCCTCATTATTCACCCTATTTCCTTGATTCACATTACCAACCCCATTATTCCTTGTATTAGCTTGATTACCTTAGTTCTCCATCACAAAGTGATTATCAACAAACTCACCCTCAATAGGTTCAGAATCAGAAAGAGAATCAGGTACACTACTAGAAGATGCAGTGGAGATTGACTGTGCAGAATGCTCTGAATGTGTGGTACTTGTAGCTACTTGTTGTTTAGCCTTTTTAATCCACCTAAGTGTCCTATTAATCTCTCTGTCCGTGGATAAAACTCACTATTGTTGTTCATGCAATGCAATGACAATTGTCCAGATTCAACAAGCAATTATCCAAACAGCAAAATGCAGATGGAAGATAAGTGAATTACCTTCAAATTGCAGCCTTTTTCAATCTGGAAACACAGCAGGTAGCAAAATCTTTGTTTTGATTTTAATATTTTCCAGAAACCAAACAATTATGGAGTAGTGAAACAATGACAGAAAATAAACTACTGTAAAATGAAATCAAACCAGAAAGCAAACACACCCAAAAAAATGTAATAAAAAAAAACTAACTAGCTGAAAACCAAGGAGACAGAGCTCCCCGGCAACGGCGCCAAAAATTTGATCTCTTGTCGTTCAAAGGTCAAATTTAATACTCTAGATTAGGTAGGAGATGAGTCAACTAGAGGTCAGTCTCAAGGAGCCTTAATGTCTTCTGGAATTAAACTAGTTAGAAGTTACAAATTAAACCAACAGAGAAGGAGGTAGCTTCTGGAATTGGTTTCTGTCATGAATTGTTATTTATGAAAACTGATTTTCAAAAGGAATGAGAGAAGAATAAGATGCAGAAAAGAGTTTGAAAGAGATATCAATGAAGTCCCTTGGATCTGTGATTTCACCTTCCTTGCAACCTAAAATCAGATTTCTATTTCTCTTAGGAAATTCATCAAACAGTAGGTCTGCAATCAACTCTAATGATGTAATTAGATAATTTCCAGATGAAGATTAACCAATTCACCTCAGATTTATCACAACAACTAAGTTCCAGACTTAACCAAATCAGAAACTGAATTGAAGCTACTTAGAAAAAGGAAATTATAACCTCTAAACACATCAAAACTTAGAAGTAGCAGAACCTAATGAAATCTAAGATGAGTTATATATCTGAACTTCAAACAAAGATTTATAACAAGATCCAAATCTGAAACACAAATACAAACTCAAGAAAAACGAAATCTCCTTGACAATCAGTGCTCTAGATCCATCACAGCTCCTCAGGAATCAATGGCTTAGTTGCTCATGTTGATGGAGGAAATCTGGCCAAATCTCCTCTGAATCTCCATGGCAAAACGCAAGAGAAGAGAAGAGAAGAAGATGAATCTGGAAGTTGAGAGAATCTGGAGAAGTGAAGAAAAAGAAGAGAATGAATGAGAATGCTGGAATTCAGTATCAGATCCGTTTTTCTGAAGCTTCTGGACGTCCAGTTCTGTTTTTAAATTTTCCCTCCGCCTTCTTACATCATTATCCACCATTTGAAGGCTTGTAATGTTGTATTTTGACATGTAAAACTTCCCTGCCTTCAGCTATGCGTTTTACTAAAGCCCAGGACATGTGTCACTCTCTTGAAACTCACTAGCCATGGAGCTATGCGTTTTTCTTAAAGTTTTTCCTCATAGAATGCTACACTAGACCACACATGATTGTGGCTCTTAACCAGATTCAAAACACTGCGTTTTAACTCCTAATTCAAGATTTTTGGCTACATCTTTCCAGATTTTATCCATTCTTCACCAATACTTCCAGAATTAGAGAAAATCCCTTTCAATCCTGCAATGATACATCAAATTCTCACAACATCATTTCTTATCAAATATTGAAAATCTAAAGTTAATTCCACATGAAAGCATTTAAATTCAATGGGAAATCACATTATTTAGTTGATCAAAATGTGGTTCATCAGTAAGTGACCATTAACTTTCAGACTTTGGCCACTTTTTTCATCTACTAATTCAACCATTCCAAAAGGGTGTCCTTTGGTGACTAGATAAGGCGCAGCCCACTTGGTTTTTAATTTTTCATGTTTAAACTTGAACTTAGCCTTGAATAACAGGGCCTTATCATCCACATGAAATTTTTTCCTCAGAATTCCTTTGTCATGAATGATTTTACTCTTCTCCTTGTAGGTTCTAGAGCTCTCATATGCCTCCATTCTAATTTCTTCTAGCTCTTGCAGTTGCAATTTCCTCTCTATTACAGCAGCTTCAAAATCCAGATTACATGCTTTAATTGCCCAATAGGCCTTGTGCTCTAATTCAACCAGGAGATGGCAAGCTTTTCCATAAACTACCCTATAGGGTGACATTCCTATGGTTGTCTTATATGCAGTCTTGTAGGCCCACAGAGCTTCTTCCAATTTAATGCTCCAGTCCCTTCTTGATGGTTTAACTATCTTCTCCAAAATAAATCTGTTTAATTTCTCTATTAGAAACCTCTGTCTGACCATTAGTCTGGGGATGATAAGCTGTGGACATCTTGTGAGTAACCCCAAACTTAGAGAACAATCCATTTAAGAGCTTATTGCAAAAGTGACTCCCACTATCACTTATCATAGATTTAGGGATTCCAAATCTTGTGAAGATATGTGACTTTATGAATTTTGAAACTGTGACTGCATCATCTTTCTTTGTGGGAATAGCTTCAATCCATCTTGAAACATAATCCATAGCCAAGAGAATATAATGATTTCCAGAGGAAGGTGGGAATGGATCCATGAAATCTATACCCCATACATCAAAGATTTCACAAAAGAGAATAGGATATTGAGGCATCTTATTCCTCTTAGTATTATTACCTCCAAACCTTTGGCACTTGTCACAACTCTTACAAAACTCATAAACATCCTTAAAGAGAGTAGGCCAATAAAATCCAGATTCCAAAATCTTCCTTGAAGTTTTCTTAGCACTAAAATGGCCTCTACAAGCACGAGAATGGCATGCCACCAAGATACCTTGAATTTCTTCATTTGGAACACAACGCCTAATCAATTGGTCATTACACATCCTCCATAAGTGAGGCAGTTTCCAAATGTAATACTTGGCTTCACTTTTGAGCTTCTGAGTCTGAAAATGAGACAATGTAGAAGGGATTAAACCAGTAGCTAGAAAATTGACCATGTTAGCAAACCATGGGTCATGAGAAACTATAGAACAAAGAATAGCAGTTGGAAATTCATCACAAATCAGATTAGGGTCAGAAACTCCCTTAGTTCCTGTTGGCAATTGACTCAAATGGTCTGCAACATGGTTTTCAGCTCCACTCGGCCTTTGATCTCTATGTCAAACTCTTGGAGAAGCAAAACCCATCTTAAAAGTCTAGGTTTAGTGTGTGGCTTGCTAAACAAAAACTTGATAGCAGCATGGTCAATAAAGACAAACCACTTTTGATGCAAGAAAGTAAGATCTAAATTTGTCTAAAACAAATACAATAGCATAAAGTTCCTTTTCAGGTTGTGTAATTAATTTGTGCATTGTCAAGGGTTTTGGATGCATATGCAATGACTTGAGATAGCTTATTTACTTTTTGACCTAACATAGCACCAATAGAAGCATGAGATGCATTACAAGCAAGTTCAAAATCTAATTTCCAATGAGGTGCAGAAAGTATAGGTGGAGAACCAAGCATGCTCTTTAATGAATCAAAAGCCTTTTTGCAAGCATCATCAAAAACAAATGCCACATCCTTTTGCATGAGCCTAGAAAGAGGGTTTGCTATTTTGCTGAAATCTTTCACAAATCTTCTATAGAAACCAGCATGTCCAAGGAATGACCTAAGTTCTTTCAAGTTAGTTGGATAAGGCAAAGAAGCAATAACTTCAATTTTGGCTTTGTCTACTTCAATTTCTTTCCTAGAGACTAGATGACCCAAGACAATTCCATTGTCAACCATAAAATGGCATTTTTCAAAATTCAGAATCAAATTCTTATC